AGCGTAATCAGGCTAAACACCGGTGCTTCCAGGGAATAATATAATTTCCCTTGACTAACTATTGGTTCTTCCTGATTCATACGGGGTGATCGAGAAACACGGGATATTTAGAGATCGGATCGTCATTGTGCATCTTGGTATCGCGAGTCCCAATTCTCTAAAACGTATTTTAATCGAATCGTATACTATGCATATGCAATGCATTCAAAGTGTACAAGGAATTTGTCGAGGTCAGTGTCACACATTACACCCGCCGCACCTTGAATTGACTACAGGATTTCTGCAATCCACTCATGGCTTCGCACTCAGTCGTTCAGACCTTCGTAGGACTTGTTCATTCACAGGTAAGTCTTCCGTAGCAGCTTGTTGTTCGACATTCTGTTCATCAGTAGTATCAGGTGGCTCAATATCTAAAAAAACATTATTAGACTCGGAATTTTCATCATGGAATGGAACTGAATGACATGGATTGTCAAAGCGAATTTGGTCCACATGTCTTCTGTGTATAGACAAATCATCCTTGTCATGTAGTTGAAGCTTTCTTCGACCTAAAGACTGTAGGAAAATTCCTGAAGAGGGTCTTAGGTCATTACCACTGAAAAATACAACTTCAGAAGAAGTACTACACAATAAATTGGATCTCAGATTTCGATCTTTTGAAAGTTTAGCATGTGTTTCTCTAGTGGAAGAATGAACAGAATTACGATATTGTAAAAGAAACAGACCAACACCTCTTTCAGGTTCAGAAAATGTGAATGGATCCAAAGCAGTAATAGCACTTTTAAGTGTTCTAACAAAATTCTCTGCTTGTCCATTAGAGCAGGGATGCCTAGGAGCAGTAAACAAATGTTTGCAACCAATGCTGTTCAGCCATTCTGAAACAATTCGCGAAGAAGTGACAGGTAACAAGTACAGCAGGAATACCGTCCCGACTGGAAACTTTACGCAAAACATGAATTGTAAAATCTGATGAGGGTGATTTGGTGAAAAATACCTCTGGCCACTTGGAGAACTCAATGACAACAAGAACATATATTTCATTGAGAAATGGACCACACTAATCAACATGAACACACTGTTGAGCTTCAGTTGAAGCTAATCCGTTGGTTGCATGGAAGAAATTTATTGACAATCTCACAAATATAATAACATCCGTGACTAAAACTAGAGTAATCACCAAATCCGACATCCGAAATTCACCCATTCGGAGCCGCCCAAAAAATGGCTATCGGTGAGGGACTTATCCTGGTGAGATTCTAGTCATCTTCCGAATGCTGTCACATGGAATAATTACCATATGCTAAGGAACCACTGCACCAGGCTGATTCGTGAGGATAAATTTAAATACCAAGAGGTGCTAGCACAAAAATTCATTTCTAACCCTAAGCTGTTATACCAACATGTCAACTCCATTCGGAAAGTAAAGTTTGATATACCGGTACTAAGTAGCGCTGAAAGAGTTGCAGCCACCCCAACGGAAGCAGCGAAAATGCTGAAAATTCAGTATTCCGACGTTTTTGCAGCACCGCAGTTTGAAGGTTTATAACTACCCCACCGGTTGCATCATCTTCCACATCCTGCACTCACCTACGTATCATTTACTGCTGAAAACGCCAAAGCAAAACCAATGGCTTTTCAAAAAAATGTAACTCCAGGTGCGGACAACATACACCCGAAATCTCAGATCTTTTTGGCAAGTCACATATCCGAACCGCTAGCTATTCTGTTTCAACTGATGTTCGATCAAGCAACACTCCCCGAATCGTGGAAACAAGGAGTCATTTCACGCATATACAAGGGTGGTTGTCGTAGTGACCCCGCTAACTACCGACCTATAACCTTGCTTCCGGTGTTATCGAAGGTCATGGAGTCAATTGTGTCCAATTCTCTGATGGAACACCTCGAAAGATACAACATTCTCTCGACAGCTCAACACGGGTCAAAGTCGAAAGTATTTAATTGGATGAATCACAAAATTTCGCTGCAGAAGCTCAATAATGCTGCTATATGGCGTTCGAGATTACGCATTTGAGTGGATTAAGGCATTCCTCGAACAACGACCCATATCAGTTTGTGTTTTTGATTCCATATCCGGATCTATCAATGCCACCCACTCTGTTCCACGTACTCGGCCCCCGTCTGTTTTAGGTTCAAAAGCAATACTGTTTGCAGACAACTCCAAAGTCTGGAATACAGTAATAGAAACCGAGGGCTCTCTAACACTTCAAGAATCACTCAACGCAGCTTATCAATGGTTTAAGCAGAATGAATGTAATGTTCCTAAGTACAAAGTCCTATCCCTACGTCACAGGAGATGATTTTCTTATTTCCTCGGAAGTCAGAAGCTATCACACATTTCAAGTGAAAAGGACTTCGATACTGTTGTTCAAGAGGATTCAAGCTGCGCCATCAATTGTGCTAAGGCTTCGTCCGCTGCTGTGAAGAATGTCGGCTTACTTCGGCGGGTCTTTAGTCTGGTAGAATGAGCACAGTTACCACATTTGCCATCAGTGTATATTCGACCCTACACAGAGTACGCCATCCAAGCTTGGTTGCAAAGTGATCGCAAGATGCTTGAGCGTTCACAAAGGATGGCCATCAACATGGTCAGGGGATTGCATTACCTAACATACGAGGAGAAATGACGATTATTCTACTTAGTACCGCCGAATTCGGGTAGACTTGATTTTGACGTATCAAATATTGCAGAACCCAAACCATGCATGTCGGCAGCTGCTCATACAATCGAACAATGTACACCTTATGGGACACCGTTTATGTTACTGAATCCAAAGTGTTGACTGCAATGCCGACACCAGAGTATGCAGTACTTGGAACACCCATACATCTCACGTTTTTTGTGCACCAGCGATTGAATATTTCAAGGAGAGACTCGATGAAACCTTTGGACACCTCACATTCCTACACCACTAAAAGCAAACGAAAATTCACTGAAGCCTACATTCTCTAATATCTGCTACTATATGTGATGTTTTTTTACCATGAAACAGTTCAACTGTGTAAATATCCTATGGGGACAAGAGAAGCATGCAAGTAAGAAGCTTGCAAGTAATTACCATAATAAAATTTTGACTTTGGCTTTGACTTTGATGACTAGCCAATCGGTCCAGCTGTGTCGCAAAAAACAGTGATTCGTTCCGTGTGAAACCACTGACCATAGTAAATCGATAACAATGACTTGGATGGGCAGAGAATGCATCTGCCAAGAGTGACGCAAGTGGAATTCCCATAGCTACGTCACATTTCTGTCAGAAGTACAGAAACTGTGCATTTCAAGTGCCTAACTTATCACCGCGTTTCCCAATCGCATTCGTTGACAAATTAACTCTACTGTCCAGGTTATGCCTGTAAGATTTAGCTGAATCAGCCTATCGGTGGTGATCTGTTCACTCGAGTGAATTTTCTTTGTAAGATTTGTGCAAATAGAGCTAACTGGGGTAGGTGGATCATTGTGGTCTTTCGGGTTAAGCTTATCCCGTCAAAAACATTGAGTTTCAAATTTCTTATTTGAAAGTCAGATCAAAGTACCCACGTGTTATGATGAATCAGAACTCAGTGTCGGAGAAGTTTCCATAGGCTATCGAGATAATCGACCAATAGTTACCGATCGGTAATAATTTTGTAGGAATTTTTACACGTGGTTTACGGGTTTATCATGCCTGTGATATTTCATTCGTCCGGAGTCCGTATAACCAACACAATCGACCTCGATGTGGTGTGCGCTTTGATACGATTCTCCCCTCCTGCACACTTCAAATTGTTCAGGCAACCAAGTAGTGTGAAACTAAAATACGTACAATGCTATGTAAATGTTTGTGATGAGCAACAAAGCACATTGGACAGCTTTTTAGTCCCATTTAGAACTCGTCAGCTGCGAGTACTTTCTTTGTCCCTCTCAAGACCCACACTAGATCTGAACTTCAAACCATTAGCTTTGAACTACACGAATCAGCAATTTGTCCCACAGTGTGATTGTTAGAATAGGTAGAGCCAAAAAGCATTGTGGTACCCGCTGAAGTGGGGAATTGATGTGAAACACAAGATTAAAGGGAATCCCATATGGATGTTTGAAGAAGTACGTATAACAGTGAAATGTGCAACAGAGCCACAATCTAATTTACTATTGAAATTTGAAAATTTCAAATTTTAGCTATGGGAATAACTCACAACTTCATGCTTTTCCCGTCCCATAGGTTTGTGTTGTGAGTAGAAAAGAGTGATGCATATAATTGCTTGTGTAAAAATGTCACATTGCACGGGCTTCTTCCAATGCTGCACGCAGCTTCACTGATGATGCAACTTAAAGCGTGCTAATGGTTCATCAATTCTCACTTTGAAAGATTCAATGCTTGGTGCACAGATAACATAGGGTGGGAGAGAGTTCCAGCTCGAACACACACTTTGACTGAGACTGACTGACGCCGGCATTCCAAGCGGCATTTTGAGACCAATATTTTGAACGGATGTCCTCTGAGATGAACGTTGTGTGATAATGTTAGCAGCAGGTGACACGGATAGCTTGAGTTTTGCATTATTTGGTATACCATAATCATGTCTCCCCCGGATGCGCCGGTATTGATTAGAATATAACCTCATCAACTTCAATCTCTGTGCGTATGAATAACGATTTAACCCCTTGACCATTTTGATGGCCACACGCGGAGCATTTCAACCCGGTGTTCTACAATCGTTTCCCAACACCGTTGGTAGAATTTTTAAATGAAGTTTACTACCAAGACAATACAATATTTGACCGAACGGAAAAGTTTCTGTAACCGCTGAATCTTCACAGCTTAGCTGGTAGATTGTCAAAAGTGTGTTCGCGCAGGAGGGGGGAAAGAACGTAATGTGAATTACAAATGGTGTTCGTCTTCGGTAGTACCGGTGTTATGATTCCACAAGACGCTGCTCGGTCGACGGAAGACAAATGCAGATTAAAGTTTGGATAACCCTAATTTGGCTGCGCAACGGATAATGAATGTAGCAGTCGATAGTTATTTTTTGAGCTACAGCAATTTGTCCTCGATGGCCTTTTGATCGTTGAAGGGAATCACCAACTGTTTAACATACTACTCACAACTGTGAGTAGTACCTTACAACAATAATGTGGGCTCAAATATGATTTTGATTATGTATGTGTCTGGGTACGTGTGTGTACGGGTTTGCGTGTGTGTATAAATGCGAATACTTACAGCCGTTGATGCGACTCGGGTGTCACACATGATTATTCGCGATTGGCTGTTTCAAACCTTGCAAATTGGACGAAACGTATTTTCTCTAGAGAAAACCAGTAGTTGAGTTCCCTTCATATTTGCTCAGTAGATGTAGTCTCTGAGTTTCCATAAGGTTTACCGTTCTTAGGAACAAATTTTTATCACTAGGTTTCAAATTTTGTATAATCGATTAGGAGCCAACGAGTTTCGAATAAGGTGCTGAGGTTGAGAATCTTGCAGTGCAGTTAGAAGAATTCACACCATGTACAACTGAAGCTATACTTATAGTGTTACCAAAATGTGTCATCTTAACTTTCTTTTCGATAAAGTTTCCTGAGTGGTCATTCTCACCAGGAATGATTATGTAAAAAGGACAGAAGAAATACTGAATCCAAATCGAAAAACAAAGGATAGCTTAGGAAAAACAGCCTGTTCTACATTGAATCTTTGAAGAAGTGTGTGATTTACACAAATTTGTTCGTCAATTGAAACCTCAGGGTTCACAACATCGGAAGAATGTACGGATTGCCGAAATTGCACAAATGGGGAATCCCATCAGGGTCCATCCTATTTCCTAAACACACATACTCGTGTAACGTGTAAGAAAGTTCCAGTAAGTGCCAAACTGGCTGATTTCAGACTGAAGCATACAGGTTAATTAAAAGTAGCAATATCAGAGGTTATTTTCTTGGCTTCTATGATTTTACGTCATCGTCTACAGACGTTCCTGATGAAGAAGCTTTGAAAAAGTATGTGAATATGTTAATAGAGTAAACTTTCTCGCCAGTGATTTGAAAAGCCTGCTGGATTTATATGTTCGCGACGTACAGTTTTGTTTTCAACGAAAATATCTATAGGCATATTGATGGACTAGCTAGGGGTAGATCTGTGGAGTTCATGCTGTTTAATATCTACTTTTCAACCTTAGTTATTACGGGCAACGAAACAGATGTTAAGACATTCATTTCACAAGTTGAACTCGTTAGACCCCAACATCAAACTGATATCAGAATGTGAATCGGAATCCAAAATTCCATTTCTTGACGTACTTCAAATACCTATCTGCGTGTGTCGAACGCTTACGTGCACGGGACACTATTTGCACTTCAGGAGCTTCTGTCATGTGGAATACAAACGTGGTCTGGTGTGTACTCTATTTCACAAGGTTCGCCGAATATGCACCTCCCAAGTCCTGCCACATGAACTATAGGCCGACTGATTCATATTTTGCTGGACAATGATTATCCCATTAGATTGATTCACAAATACAGCAATCCAGGGAATCCAAGGCTCATTACTTTATTGGATAATAAAAAAGAGGTCTATATTGTATTACCTTTCAAAATAGATAATGTGATAACAAAGACACACGTCGTGGGAAAGCCGTACAATACCGCTGGACTAGTGATTATCTTCTACAGGACGTTTCGTTGTATCGCTCGCACACTACCTGGATCGAGGAGACATTAGTGTTACTTCCAATTGCATCCGGGAAAGTCGTTTTTTAAACAGAATGTGTAAACATATTCCGAAATACCTCTGTCCTCTTGGAGGGCAACTACCATCTATAGTGCAATTGTCCGCCATTTGTTAGACTCTGGTCACCATGTAGAAATACCCAAAGCGTTTCGAGTCGTTGCGTGGCCTCGAGTTTCACGAACATTGCGATTATTAAAAGTGATAATTATTCATTGCTTGAAACTCAAAAATCATCTATGACGCAACTGTTGTTGCCATGGTAGTGATGATGCCATGCTGAATACCACCCTATCACAGTGTGTAGCATAACCTTCCTTCCCCCTGCCTCTAAAACATTCACCACATTATTTAGACCAGTTCACCTCCATGTTAAATAATGTAACAACAGGCGCCCACTAGAGCAAGTGATGGACCACTATAGATTTCGTCGATTGGGCATGTGTTACGCATGTTATCAAATAGGTTGCCACGGAGAGTGATGTTCGTCGAGGCAGGTAGTTGGTGGATGGAGAAATCCAAGGGTGGTCAAACTAAAACTTGACAACCAAAAGACAGCAACCAAAACGGGAGCATGAAAGTACATGGTTAATGGTTAACTGAAACTGAACGTGAAAATCATGCAACCCACTTGGCCATCAACGCCTTGTTCAAATGACTCATTTCAACTCAGATGTGGTTCTTCGTTTGACATGGTCATATAACTGTGCGCTCAAGGTTGAATGAGGGTACGCGCTCATGGCTAATGTCAATTCTGCCTACATGTGTCCGCTTGTATTGATGGAAATTTGTTGTAAAAATGAGTATTCCATTAGCTATATGGACTGGAACCATGTTCTTGATCGTCACGAATATGGTTTGCATCTTCGAAGTTGTATTCCATTCTTTGAACTGCAGTATGAATGATCTCTCACACGCACACGGAATCGCAATACCAGCTTCCATTATGAGAGCTTCTACCGGTTTAGGAATGAGTTGCTTTCAAAGGACCAGTGCCAGATTTTAAGTAAAACAATAATCAGAACACGTGACGTAAGAAGATGACTTATTGGCCTTCTTGATTGCGTCTGTATCTGTCTGAATGTATAGGTTATTTGAATTTGCGATGTGATTTCTATTCAGAGATTTCCTGTTCTCCGCTTCTCCCAAAATCCGCCCCATTCACTGAATTCATACCTTTCTTTTTCATGTACCGTGAGGCAGAAATTTTATACCCTTTTTAATTGGTACTATTCAAATATTGGATAGTTGTATAGTGTGTAATTTCAGATTGTGGTCAAGGTTAGCTTTCAGTAAGTTTTTAATAAATAGCACTAATAANAAAATAATGTGCAAATGTAGGTTGCGTACCTGAAGAGCAGCAACAATGTCCCAGTTCCACCAGTCGAACGTTAGTTATTGCGGAGAGCAAAAGCACGACAAGGGTGGACGAGGAGTATTATATATATATATATATATACATATATATTCTTTATAACAGAGAGATTACAAATACTTTGAGGTGTAACCATGTGCTCTAGGCACTTCTGTTAGTCAAACGCCAAAAAAAACATTCTGGTACTTAACTAGAATTTCGATACCTGTGGTGGTTCAATCGAA